AGCCACCACGGGTCAGGCACGTGCTAAGCAGTTCACACAGGTTATTTTACTTAATTCATTCTGCAAATCTGTGAGGTAGGTATTTTTGTTCCCTTTTCACAGATGTGGAAACTGAGAGTTGAAGAGGCTGAATAACTTCTCAAGCACACACCCACGTGCCCACACACAGAGAGGCAGAGCTGGGATTCAAACCCAGGCCTGACTGATTGTGGACTTCTCCCCTGTGCTATACTGCCTGCAGCAAAATTCTAAGTGCAGTCTGGCTCCTGGGAAAACCCACTGGGTAGTCCTTAAGTCGAATTTGCCAGGAGCAGGGGCACCACTGTGTATAAGACCAGTGGCAACAATCCTCAGGTGACAGGGTGACTGGAGCAGCTGGAAAGGGCATCTGCTGTCCCTGCCCCATAGGGCAAAATCGGATTTCTTTTTCCAAAGGCCCTTAGGGAGAGGCCTCCCACACCCTTTCCTGGTCTGAGCTGCAGAGTCCTGCCACTGGAGTGAGAGCTCAGCTTTGCTCAGGGATAGAGAGTTCTAGAGTGCCCACCTGCCACCTGCGAGCTTGTCCTAGCCCCCTCCCCACTCCAGGTATAGCCTTTGTGATACCTAGTGGTGAGGGTGAGAGTCTTCAGGATCTGGCCAGGACCAAGCCAAGGTGGGGAGTACTGGAAACGTACCACCCCCAACTTCTCTGTCTCTCGCAAACCAAAAAGGGAGGCTCACTGTTCTCTGCCCCACAGATACCCCTCCCTGGAGGCTCTTAGTGCCTAGGATTACCGTCCTGTATGCTGAGGAAGCTGTCCACCAACCTCCTACAAAAGTCAAAACCAGCTGTCAAAGAGTTCAACTCAGCAAGAACTGTCTGTGTATATTATCATTTTTTCCCCTGGAGACCAAAATGAATTCCAGGGAGAAAACACTAGCCTAGAACCCCTTGAGCTGAGATATCTATTTCTGGCTTTTCCTCTAACTCTCTACATGACCTTAAGCAAGTCACTTAACCTCCCTGGTCTCAGCTTTCCTTCATGTTAAAGGGGAATTATTACATGTGGTCATCATCATAGCGAGCGTTCACTAAGGTTTTACTCTGAGCTAGGCACTGGGCTGGTTGCATCAGCACATTTATCCTCTGAGTGGCCTTTGAGATAAGGACTGTTTTCATTCCCATTTTCAGACAAGGAAACTGGAGAAACAGGGAAGTCAGGGGAACATGCCCCCAGTCACACAGTTAGTAAAGGTGGACTGGCTTTCATTTTTCCAAGCTCTTAACTGCTGTGACATACAGAGTTACTTTATAAAGATCAAGATGTAAAAGTGTTTTGAAAGCAAAAAAAAAAAAAAAAGGGGGGGGGGCTGCGTAATATAAATATAAACCACAACCCCTTGGACATGACTTAAGGAATATCCCTAATTCCCTTAAGAACATTCTGTAGAATCTGCCCACAGAATCAGAGACCTCCAAGATGAGAAAGACCCACAATAAGTGGTAGTTTTTCTTCCCCCCTCCCTTCGGGCAGGAATGCCACGGTTAGTCAAATTCTACAGGTGAGACCAGAAAGGTCAAGCTTCAGCCCTCGCTGGCAGGTGAGGAGGGAGACAAACCTGGGCCTCCTGGCTCCTAGTGGGGAGGACAATGATGACTGAAGGCCCCATTGGTGTCGAGGTGGAGCCCCTCCAACCAAAATTTAAACATTTTAGCATAATATTCAAGTATATCTTTTCTAACCTTAAACATGAATTGTATTTCACTGCCAAACTGGTCAACATTCAGTTCTAAATGTAGTTTTTCCTCCCCTCCCCGCGAAGTTCTGCATGGGAGGGGGCTCATGGTCGCAGACAGCAGAACTGATGGTAACTACTGTCACCAGAAAAGAGGCTATGTGTATAAAGGATATTGGGCATATCCAAAGGCTCTCTTGGAGGCCTGCAGATTTAGAGGCCAAGCAACCAAGAACACACCTTAAATACACCTTAGAGCTGCGCAAGAACGCAATCCTACCTTCCTACAGTGGCCTGCAAGGCTGGGTGGCCAGTCCCCTCCTCCCTCTGTGGCCTCTGCTCCTCCCACTCTTCTGCCTGGCTCCCCGACGCACTGGTCTCCTTGTTGCTCCCTGCACAATCCCATCTCAGGGCCCTGATCTTGCTGTCCCCTTGGCCTGGAACACAGACATTCATATGGCTTGCTCCCTGGCTTCATCAGGTTTCTGTTCAAACACCCCCTCCTTAGAGAAGTCTTCCTGGACTGCTCGGTCACTCTGTGCCCTCTCCCTGCCTCACTCTTCCTCAGAGTGCCCACCGCTCCCTGACACTGTGCTGAGCACTGTNAGAAGTCTTCCTGGACTGCTCGGTCACTCTGTGCCCTCTCCCTGCCTCACTCTTCCTCAGAGTGCCCACCGCTCCCTGACACGGTGCTGAGCACTGTCTCCCAGATGGGACCGTAAGCTCCATGAAGGCAGGGGCTTGGGTTTTGTTTGTTGCTGTAAGCCCGTAGCCCAGAGTGGTGCCTGGTACATTTTAGGTGCTTAACTAGTTGCTGAATACTCTATGAAGGCATGAATAAAGGAATGAATGGAAAACTTCAGCACAAACCAAGTGCTCACGTCTCCTGCCTGCGCTGGAAGATCAGGGCAATAACAAGAGTCAGCTTGTGCGGTGGCTGCAGCTGTGTTGTCACCCTGCCCTGATTACGATCAGCCCTGCGGCTTCCACTTTGGAGGAAAGGCTTGTCCAGGGACCTGGAGCTCCAAAACTCCCGACAGCCTGTGCAGCATTTGGGACTTGTCTGGACTGTTGCTGTGCAGACCATGGAGGCCTGGCTGGGTTCCTGCGCCTGCTTTCTCAGGGCCTCAGATCAGCTGGGAAGTGACTTACCCAAAGTCTCCCTTCTCCTCCTAATCAGTTCAGCTCAGGGAGTGATGCTGACAAACACATGCAGTGACGTATAGACTCTCAGGGTCACACAAGGTCAGAGCTGGGTGAAGCCTTGGTGATCCCAAGACCAACCTGTGCTCTGCAGATAACGCAGGCCGAGGGTGCATGTGGACTCTGGAGTCTGGCAGAGCCAACGTCCATGAACCGTGTGACCTTGGAGCATTATTCGGAAAGACGATATAAAAGCACTGCTTTTCTCAGCTGTGAAATGGAGATAAAAGTCCCTACTTTAAACAGAAAGCTTGTCCTACTGTTCAAAAGTCTTTACTTCCATTCTTGATGATATTTAAGTCAAATTTTGGGGCTTGATAGTCAAATCCGACCACCACCAAAATCAGGTCAACCCAGCTTACTCCGTGTGATCCCTCTGGACTCCCCCTCGACGCTCCTGCTCCCTCACACTTGTGTGCCTGGATCCACCACCACCTCCTTCTTTCCTCCCATCTGAGTTTACTGCAACCCAGGAGCAGGCCTCCCAGCCTTCCCTGACGCGGGCTCCTCTGGGCACTCACCCCGGGCACTCAGCAGTGCGCATACTGCTTGGTAACAGGAAAGAACCAAGTTTTTGTTTTTATTTTAGATTTCTTTTTAAAATTTTATTTTTGATTACAGTTGACATTCAGTATCATTCTCTATTAGTTTCAGGTGCACAGCATAGTGGTTAGACAATCATATACTTTACAAAGTGTTTCCCCTGGTGTTTCCAGTACCCACCTAGAAGCCAAGTTCTGACTCTCCCACCAGAACATGTGACCCTTGAGGGCAATTGCCTCTTCTCTGAGCATGTTTCCACCCACCAGGCACTAAATAATGCACAAGAATCCCTGCTGACTGACTCAGTTGAAGTTAATTTTCTGTCCATTTCCCAAGGGAAAGAAATGAAAGATATAGAAATAAATTAAATTGGAGACAAATTCAAATCCGTCCTATTTCTGTGTGGGGAAAAAAAAAAAAGTCATCTATGTCTCCAACCCCAGACCTGACAAGCAGAGCAACGCCCTAACAACGGAGCATAGAACGAATCACAAGGACTAGCCTCACGTCAAGATTTCAGGAAGGAACACACGGTTAAACTGAAAACTGTTAACTGGTGCATAAGAAAAAAACACAACAAACAGCCCGGAAATGTTTTTAGGAGTGTGTCTATCAAAGTCCCTCGGGGGCCGATTTGTCCTTAACACCTGCTTTTACTAAAAACCAACGGGCCAACCCCAGAGATTTGTGAGTCAGACGCGGAGTGAAACCGGACACAGAGGTACTGAGCTGTGAAGCACATCGCCCGGAGGCGAGCGGCAGCCGCGCTATGGCCGGGCAGTGCCCTGTGGCCACCAGCGTGGGCCACGGGGAAGCTGAGCCAGCAGCACGTGGGTGTCCCACAGGACCCAGACGCTCCTGCCTCGTGCCTCCTCCATGCCTCCACTTCCCCCGCCCACCTGCTTCATACATCTGGAAAAAAGTCCTTGCACAATCCTCCACCCAAACTCATCCCACGCTACTTCAAATGAGACCTCAGAACTAACACATATTTCTTTCTCATGCTTTTCAAAACAAGATTTGAAAAGACAAAACTGAGAAAACTCAAGTGATATGAAGAAGTAGATGCAATGCCTTTTGATTTTAACTTCGTGGTAGATAATCTTTTTGAATGCAATTCTGTATCTACACAAACAAAAACTGTCCCTTTAAATTTCAAACAGCTGGAAGAAGGGCCACGAGGTCCCTGCAAAGAACACCTCACACTCCCTGATGACCACACATTTGTTGAACTAAAAGGAACTGTTCTGGGTGGGTACCACCTCTCTGGATGATAAAGGGGAGGGGCCCAAGGTGCAGACAGGAAGGGACACCACACTCACAGTGCAGAGAGTGACTCCTGCCCCCTCATTCCCTCTGCAACATTCTAGTAATACTTCTGGTTTCACTGTTGTTGTTTTTGTAAACAAACTGAAAATCAATAAACTACCTCAAAATCCACCCTGTGTGATTTACACCAACCCCTATATTAAAAAAACAAAACAAACAAATAACGTGGAACAGATGAGACGAAAACTCTGGTCAGGCTCTAAACTCACCCATGGCTGGTGGCTGGCATTCAGGTCTCCGGGAGAAGAGAGTCCACTTTCTTGTTTCCCTGCTGTCCAGGCCCAGGTCTTCCTGCCTTGCACAGAAGTCCAGGCCGTGCTGCCATCTGCAGGCAAAACAAGAAAAAGCACAAGTTATGGCTCAAATCTCCCACCTGAAGCCCCTTCCTGGAGCTTCCTCAAGCAGCTGCAAGACCTGAGGCCCATCTTGGTGCAAGAGGCAGAAGAAGTCACTCAGTTCTGTGTGTGAGATCCCACCACAGAGCTGCAACAGACACAGTAAAAATTCTAAACTATCAAGGGCTCAAGTATTTCTTGACAAGAGCAGCAAATGGTTTGCATTTATTACCTCACTGAATCCTCACAAAAACAGGTGAATATTTTAGAAGATCTCTGCCAATCTGCCTGGTTATTGAGTTGGGTTGGATAATTTAAATGAAGTTGATAATACTCGATTTCAAAGAGGCGTCAGATATGAAAACTCTATGAGAGAGTCTAACCATCCAACAGATCAGTCATTCCCTAAATATTTGTGCCTGTCATGGACCAGACATCACTCTAGGACCTGGGATCAGAAGCATGAATCCAAACACAAAGTCCCTGCTCTCATGGAGCTTCCATTCTGGGGGAGAGAGGGGACAGTAGAAGGGGTGACAAATGCTGTGCAGACGACAAAGCAGGATACAGGGGATAGAGAGTGATGATAAGGCTGTTGACATTCTTTCAATTATTCACTCATTCCCAGGTTTCCCAAGTACTTACTAACCTCCTACCACAGCCAAGCACTGCGCTGGGATGCAGTGATGGGCAAAAAGAGACATGGTCCCTGCTCGCATGGCGCACTTATCACATAGGAGAAGCACATATGAATCAAATTATCACCTACATAAATGCAAAGCTGTTAACCTGTGGTAACTGTGATAGCAGAATGGCACAGGTCCCTATAAGAGCATCCCAGGGAGGCCTGACCTCTTCTGAAGCCTCAGAAGGCCTGGGATGGAGTGTAGGGAGAAGCATCCTTGGCAAAAAGCACACCATATGCAAAGCCTGAACCATAAACAGCAAGCCAGAGGCGGCATGGGGAGAGAGGAAGCAGAGAGGAGGTGGAGAAGGGGTTGGGCAGTTCTTTCATGGGGCTCCCAGCCACTAGAGGTCTTTATCATCTGAAAACTGGAGCACCACGCAAGGGATCTGGCAGAGATGCGGCTGGATGTGTCTTTTTAAAAGATTACACTATGAGGCTGGCTGAGTCTTAGCCCCACCAAAAAATGTTGATATCTGAACCCCTAGAAGCTGTGAATATGTTTGTTCCCTTACAAAGGGACTCGGTGGGTATGATTAAGTTAAGGATCTTAAGATGAAGGTATTATCCTGGAGTGTCCAGGTGGGCCCAATGTCACCACGAGGGTCTTTAGAAGAGGGAGGCAAAGGGAGATGTGATGATAGGAGTGTCAGAGTGATGCCATGTGAGAAAGACTGGTTGGTAAAAGATGAGGAAGCAGCCATAAGCCAAGGAATGCAGGAAGCCTCTAGAAGCTGGAAAAGCCTTGATTTGTTACAGCAGCACCAGGAGACCAATACGCCTTGGCTTCTGTGAAGAAACACTAGAGGTAAGGGGAAGGGGAGGCAGGGCTAACACAGGTCACCGTGTTATCCAGGCAAGCAATGTGAGAGCTTGAAGCACAGCGGTGGCACTGGGGGTGGGGAGGAGTCATCCAGTCAAACGTCTTCCTGCAACCTGGCGGATGTTCCTGGAGTGCAATGCCAGGCTGCTTCCAGGCTTAGGACATGGTCGGCGCAGCCTGGGCAGAGTCCAGCACCCTTGGTAGAAGAAGGAAGCTGCAGCGGCGGTAAGACCAATGCTGGACTCACTTAACAGGGACCTGCCAACCCCATTCCCACAAAGGAGTTCAGGGGGTTCCAGGAACAAGATCTAGAAGTAACTGCCTGGGAATTGCTACTAGGCAAAAGGTAGCAATTGTTTCTGCTAAGCATTAGGCCTTGGGGGAACATTTTTTTTCTTCCAAACAAAAGAGATTTCATAATCCTGGAAATGAGGTGCCCAAATTTAAATACACACATCTCCACTCCAGGTGAGGCATAATAATAACTATATCCAACATGTTGAAATTTCATGGTCAGTAGAATAACACAGAAATCAAAGAAAGAATAAATGAGAAACTAGGAGGCCCTCTCTCAGTACCTACTCCACTCCTATTTAATGCCCCAGACCTACTGAAAATGTGGAATCCTGCTTCGGGCCTGCCTAATTGCGCTGCTGAGAAGAAAAAGCAATAAAAATGATTCCAGAGAATTTTATATATATTCTCCCTATTTTACAGCAAAGTATAAACATAAGCCCACCAAAACCAAGTACTCTGGAGTCGGCTGAGGGGTGACAAGGAAGTCTTGAGGGCACTGCTCCCCCCAGGTGGCTTTGCATCAGGCCTCAGGAACCTAAGTGGATCCTAGGAGCATGTCAAGACCTAGGAGTGCCTGTAGATGGCAAAATACCAGGTAGTCCAGTTAGGGTTGGAACAGGTTAATTAAAAAGCAGATATATGTATGTATGTATTGTTTTTCTGGTGACAGAAGTGACATATGTTTATTATTGGAAAATACAAAAATCTCATGTAGTCCCAACCATCCAGAGAGAACTTATCTGGAAATATTTTCTTTCAATCTTTTTTTCCAACAATTTTAGTGTGTGTGTGTGTGTGTGTATCTATATATCTAGAATTTCTTTTTAAAAATATTAGGATACTGTGTATATTTTCTTTTGCAACCACTTTTGTTTTATGTAGCAGTATAGACATTTTCTGTGTCATTAAATATACTTTTTTAATAGTTGGCAATATTCCATCATAGAAAGGTATCAAAATCACTTAACCCATTCCTTATTGCTGGAAAACTGAGTGGTTCCTGACATTATGTAGCAGAAGTCACACTGAGAGGAACAGCCCAAATATTAGAACACCCCCTTTTAAAATCTGTGTCGAAGCTCTGGTTATCCCTTGGGGTCATGTTTCCCACATTTCCATAATCCATATATCACCATCACTAGCTCACCGTAATTATGTACCATGTGCATCATACTTAACATTTCTCTTTAAATCAAACCATTTCCCTTTAAATAAATGTGTTTTAAAAGCAAACCATATTGCCCAGCTGGGCGTGGCTCAGCGGTTGAGCATCGACCTGGGATCCAGGTGATCAGGGGTCAATTCCCGGTCAGGGCACATGCCCCGTTGTGGGATCGATCAATGACTCTCTCATCATTGATGTTTCTATCTCTCTCTCTCCCTCTCCTTTCCTCTCTCTGAAATCAATAAAGATATGTTTAAAAATAAAAAAATAAAAGCAAACCATATTTACTATTGTAAACAGAAAACCAGCATCATATGTCATAAATGAAGGCGACTGTAAAAATAAATACAATGGAAAACAAAACAGTTTGGTGAAAATACAGTTACAATACTGCTATCCCTTTGCTCGGCCTTTTATATCAAAAGGGAGATGAGGAAGGTTTAGAGACATACTAGCACCAAGCTGAGATTTTTCTCCTTTCCTTGATTGGAAGATTGAAAAGGGGAATAAGTTCTCACCATGTGAGTCAGGGTTAGGCAAGGCTGCGTGTTCCACCTAGAGTTCCCCTGCGCCGTCTGAAGGAGCCTTGCACGGGAAACATGTCCTACATACACTACTGGACATAGGATTATTGGGGTAAAAGGTATGGACACTAAAAAGCTTTTGATAGTGCCCATTTTACTTCACCCTCAAATAGTAAGTATGATAAACAAAAATGTTAAATGTTAAGCTTTTTAGTGTAACGTGCTCAGCAGCTGAATTTTCAAAGCTATTCTCATACTCCTGCAGTCAGTCTCTGACCCTGGGGCAAGGCCATGACATGACCCTTCAGTTAGTGGTAAGTCTACACAGACGGATATTGCACTTTTTAACCAAGCTAAAGGGAACTCGGTAAAATATGAGGAAGTGACTTTAGCACTTGCAGACATTTCAGAATGTTTTTGTGCCAGCAAAGGTCAACGGAGGATCAGAATAGCATGGACTCTACAGTATGCTTTTGAGAAATCAGAGACCAGAGAAGCATTACTCATGAGATACAGATCTCTACAACTTTTCACTGAGTCAATGAACATGCTAAAAGAAACACATGTTGAAACCCTCTTATCCTGGTACAATAGGTAATTGCACACATAGGTTATAGATTAATGCAACTGTTAAGAAAAGAATTCAAAAATAGAGAAAGAAGACTGTGTTTTGAAGCACGAAGAGTTAGTAACAATGGGAAGCTTCCAGATTATTTCAATAATTCCCAGGCAGACACCCACGTGTGTATGTGCCTGTGGGAGAAAGATGGGGGAGAAGATAATTAAAAACATGCTAAACAGTTTCTTATGTTTGGAAGGAGGTTTGAGATTCTGATTAATTTTTGGCATTTATAGGAAAATATATGCTTATCTATGCTTAAGAACTTAACGAGGGCTCCTAGTAAGATATAGAATTCAAAGTCACTAAGTGAAAAGGAAGGGGCGGGGACAAAGGCACCTTGATGAATCCAGAGAAAGTCACAAAAAAGAAGAAAAAAGGAAGAACTCATGATAAATATACGGCAAAACAAGAGGACAGAAAGAAGGTGACATATATCAGTGCTCAAAACAAACATGAAGGAATTATATTCCACTATTTAAAAATCAAGATTTTCTATCTAAATTCCCACTAATGGAAAAACAGATAAATAAATCATGACATTCCATTGTAATGCAGGGGGTGGTGTGTGTGTGTGTGAGCATACCACAGAAAGAGACCCAGTTCTTACATAGTTTAAAAAGTTGTAGAAAAATGAATAAGCATAGAAAAGAGTCCAGAAAAACACACCAAGTTGGTAACTGAGGTTGACTATAAAGAGTGGGATTATATGAAACAGGAGTGGGTTTCCTGTCTAATTTTGAGTGTCTTCATTGTTTGAATCTATTATAAGCAGCGTGTAACCAGAAAAACAAGGTGAAATGAAATAATAAATGTAAG